AGAAGAATTAGACCGTTTGAAATGAAGTCCTATTCCCATAGTATGTTTCACATATCTCACAATCCTCTTGACAGCTGACCAATGTGTAGAAGTAGGTGCATGAAGATATTGACAAACCTTGTTGACAGCAAATGAGATATCTGGACGTGTGAGAGTTAAATATTGTAGTGCTCCCACAGTACTCCTATACCTTGTACTCTCCTCCTCTTGAAGTGGCTCACCCTCATATGCTGAGAGACTTTCTGAGGAGGATAAAGGTGTAGACATTGGCTTGCAATTTTTCATCCCCATGCGAGACAGAAGCTCAAGAATATATTTTTCCTGATTTAACACAATACCATCTTGAGTTTTCTTGACTTCAATACCCAAGAAGAAATGCAAATCACCTAGGTCCTTCAAGGCAAACTCTGAGCTCAAATCATGCAAAAGAGCATTAGTAGCATTTTGTGAAGAACTTGCAACTATGATATCATCAACATATATAAGCACAAAAATGACTACTCCTGCCTTGTTATAAATAAACAAGGATGTGTCAGCCTTGGAAGCAACAAAGCCAAGATATTTTAACTGTGAGCTCAATCTGGAATACCATGCTCTGGGTGCTTGCTTTAGACCATAGAGTGCTTTATCAAGCTTGCAGACATACTGTGGCAATTTCTTACTCTCATACCTAGGTGGTTGTCTCATAAACACTTCCTCTTCCAGAACACCGTGCAGAAACGCATTCTGTACATCTAGCTGCCTTAAACTCCATCCTCTGGATACAGCAATGGCTAACACAAGTCTGATAGTTGCAGCTTTCACAACGGGACTAAAGATGTCCTCATAGTCAATGCCATAACGTTGCTTAAAGCCCTTTGCAACTAGACGTGCCTTATATCTGTCAATGGAGCCATCTGCCTTCTTTTTAATTCTATACACCCATTTGCAATCAATAATATTTTTACCTCTCTGATTTGGTACAAGATGCCAAGTCTTATTCCTCATGAGCGCAGAATACTCCTCATCCATTGCCTTTTTCCATTTAGGATCATCAAGTGCATTCTTCAACGATGTTGGTTCTCCTGAAATACACAACATTCCATATGGTATAGTTCCATCTTTCCTAATTTTAGGATTCCGTATACCTTTCTGTAGCCGGGTCATAACACGTGAAGAAACCTCTCGCTGCACCGCTGGTATACTTGCCACAGAAGATCCAGGAGAATCTGCTGATGCAGTGGACTGATTTGTCGTCATATGCGCAGGGGATCCTGTGGCTTCTGGTGTGGCTGCCCCTCCTGCAGGCACTGGCGCAGAGGATCCGCCACCCGACCGCGACTGGAGGCGCGCGTGGTGCGGAGAGGATCTGGTCCCGCCTGACGCTGGCGCGCGGGGCGAGGGGGATTCGGCCCCGCTGCTGGTCCCGCCTGAAGCTGACGCGGTAGCACGGGAGTGGCCCGCCCTGGATCCAGGACTGGAGCCATCAGGGGCTTGATCCGAGGCGGATGCGGTCGCGTGATCCGAGATCTGCGCGCGTGCAGGGGTGGCAGGCGCCGCCAGATCTTCTTCGTCATCTGTGCCAGCTTCGTCTCCTTCCTCAGCATGAAATATAGGATCAAAACCAGCCATATTTTCGAGATCTTGGTCATTTTGAGCACCGTTTTCTCCAGGGACCTGCACAGGCATAAGAGAAAGACCAGTACCAGCAGGAATATCATCACATTGGTTAGTACAATTGTTGTCGCCCCATGATCAAAAGACCGAAGATGTGAAGGAAGAAGAAGAATTTCTTTGCGGAGAAGTGCACCAGCATTAGGATGAAGGGATGCAAAGGGAAACACGGACTCATCAAATACAACATCTCTGGATATATACACCCGACCAGTAGGAACATCAAGGCACTTGACCCCTTTATGCATGGGGCTATAGCCTAAAAAGACACACCGTTTTGAGCGGAAAGCGAGTTTGCGTGTGTTGTAAGGCCTAAGATTGGGCCAACAGGCACAACCAAAAATACGAAGAGATGTATAGTTGGGTGTGACACCAAGAAGTCGTGTAATGGGTGTTTCAAATTTGATAACTTTACTTGGAAGCAAGTTGATGAGATATGTAGCAGTTAAGAATGCTTCATCCCAAAATTTAAGCGGCATGGAAGCATTTGCTAACAAGGCAAGCCCCATATCAACTATGTGACGGTGCTTTCTTTCAGCGGATCCATTTTGTTGGTGAGCATGAGGACAAGATACATGGTGTGATATGCCAAGCTTTTGAAAGAAAGAATTTAGTTTTTCATACTCACCACCCCAGTCACTTTGCATAGCAATGATTTTAGAGTTCAGTTTGCGTTCAACAAGATTTTGGAAATTGAGGAAAACTTGGAATACATCAGATCGCTTTTTCAACAGATAAATCCAAGTAAATTTACTATAGTCATCAATAAAACTTACATAATAGGAAAATCTACCAACTGAAATAGGAGCTGGCCCCCATACATCTGAAAAGATAAGTTGTAAAGGGGCAGTAGACACACTAGTAGAAATTGGGTAAGGTAATTGATGACTCTTTGCTTGTTGACACGGATCACAAACTGACTCACTACTAGGCTCATAAGAGAGTTTATTTTTGCTAAGAACATATCTAACTATGACTGAAGATGGATGACCTAAACGACTATGCCACCTTGATGTAGATAGCTTGGTGACAATATTTGCTTGTTTATTGGACCATGAAGATGATGATGATGATGATGATGATGATATGAGTGGGTAGAGTCCTCCCACGCACCGTCCTCTAAGAATGACTCTCCTTGTTTTCAAGTCCTTAACCAAGAAAAAATAAGGATAGAATTCAATAAGAACATTGTTATCAAGAGTGAATCGTTGAACGGAAACAAGATTTTTAGAGGTTTGAGGAACATGCAAGACATTGGTCAAGTGTAAATTTTTCACGGGGGTTTTAACAATTGAACTGCCAATGTGTGTGATATCCATACCAGAACCGCTTGCCGTGCGAATTTGGTCGCCTCCATTGTACTTCTCCCGCATCGTCAACTTGTCAAGTTCACCTGTGATGTGGTTTGTTGCTGCACTGTCGGCGTACCAGTTGGTGTCCACGCCATAGGAGAATGCATGCGCTTGCTTTTCTTCCTGGTCGTTTTCTTCATAACGCCACCAGCAAACTCGTGCACCTCCTGGATGGTGTCTGTAGCATATCTGACATTCTGGATAGTCATGCTGTTGCTCACGAGCCTGCTGTTGCTGTTGCTGTCGAGGACGGCCTCTGAATCCGCCGCCTCCATTGGAGGAAGACGACTGTCGGTCACCGCGGTCACCACGATCACCACGGCCACGGCCTCTTCCTCCACGCCCGCGAGATCTGCCACGGGACTGGCCACGGCCTCTGTAGACCGCATTAGCGGATGAATAGAACCCGCCTGAAGATGAGTCGCCTAGCATCTCCATCCTTTGATCAAAGGCAGCAATCTGGGCAAAAAGATCGTCGGCTGTGATGATGTTTTTGACAGCGCCGATCGCCGCCACCACGGGGTCGTAGTCGCGGTCCAGTCCGGCCAGAATATAGTCCACCATCTCCAGATCATATACGGGACGACCTGCAGCAGCTAGTTCATCCCCAAGACTTTTCATCTTCGCCATATACGCCGAGCTTGACATCGAGCCCTTCTTGGTATTGGTGATGGCGATTCTCAGATTAGTAATCCGAGACTGAGATTGTGAGGTGAAGAGATTTGTCACCGTCGTCCAGAGCTCAAAGGTGGAATCTTTCCCAACAACTTGTGCAAGAATTTCTGGAGACATGGAATTGAGAAGGTATGATAGAACCTGCTGATCTTTGGCGATCCAGGGTCCGTATAGGGGATTCGGCTCTAGGGCCGTGGTCTTGTCTGCCTTCGTGATCTCCACCATCTTGGGTGGAGCGGCATCGGTGTTGTCCAGGAGCCCCGTCACCTGCGCGCCTCGCAGGGCTGGGAGGACCTGCGTCTTCCAGAGGATGAAATTACCTCTTGCGAGCTTCTCAGATGGCGGCGATCCAAGGTTGAGGGAGACGCCGGCGGAGGAAGCCATGGAGACGATGATGTGTGGTTTCTAGGGTTTTGGATTGTGGCTAGATGTATGAGAAGAGGTGGCTCTGATTACCATGAAAGATATGAAGCGTTCCTACTCCATCGAGGGAGCCGCGTGGTAGTTTATATTGATGCGTGGCCGAAGCCTGGCTTGACGTACAAGGTTATGACAGAAAGAGTTTGGGTAGAATACAAGAGAAGGAAGGAGGTTGAGATTACAACTCTATATTCTAACACTACTAATTACCAAACGCGTGTGTCCGTCTGGACTTGGGAGCGGTAGCATAGATAGGTTTCTCACCCATTAGTTTACACGTCCTTTGATGGAGCTTTGCCTAGGTCAAAGATATCAGCTGTCCTGCATGGTGGAGCACTACCCCTGGCTGCTGCTCCATGAATACATTACTCACCTTGAGACTTGAGGTGATCTCTGCCTGGAGATCTGGGAAGCACGCAGGAATCTCATTAAATGCCATATTGCATCCTGTTGACTTTGCAAATCTGGGCGGCGAAATTACATTACCGTGAAACTGTCGGTTTTGCACCCCAGATCAGCTGTCATCTCCGTTTCTCGCGACCATCGGATCCGCGATGGACGGGCCGAAGCTTCTGCAGCCTCTCCATGGGTAGGTAGGTAGCCGGCCAGCATCACATCTTCCCTGCAGACAGTCAATCCTCTCCTGTAATTAGTCGGTAATTGGTGTAAGTCAATGCACATCTTCTTAGTAACTGATGATCCCATGGCTCAAAGCATATAATAGCATGGTAACTAGTACTTCGGTGTCATGTGCAGTGGCATATTAGCGCATAGCCCGCATCACACATCTGCCTCTAAAGTCTTGCCATTCCCAAAACCCAGGCAAAGGCCAGGGAAAACAAGGTGCACCTGCAGTAGCTCCATTGATCCCCTCCACAGCGCAAAGAGCACGGTCCTGCAATGGAATCGAGCGGTCTGAGGAAGAGAGTAGCCGATATGATGGATGGGGGCAAGTACAAGCCAAAAGGCTATGGGATGGCCGCCGCCGGCCAGAGGCTCCCGTGTGCGCTGCTGCTGCTGCTGGTTCTCGCCGGCGCCGCGTTGAGCGTCGTCGTCATGCACAAGGTTAGGGAGCAGCGCGCCTTTGCTGTGGTTCTCAAGGAGCGCGACGTGCAGGCCGTCTCCCTCCGGATCCAACTCCAGGTATGGCCATGGCTCATGTCTTCCGTTTTCTTCTTCTTTTCCCCCTTTTTAGATCATGCATGCAGACAAGCTGGTGCAAGATCATCCATTCTGCATCATAAAGGAATGAATCTGCATCTTTTAAGAGTGCCAAATTGCATCAATTGTAGAACAGTTAAGGAGTTGGGAAGCTTATCTTTGCCGACCTCTGCTAGAATTAGCTTCCGCCTCCCTTTTCTTTCTCGTCGAATATGGATGTACCTCTCGAGATGCAAATTCTTGCTCATGGTTTCAAATTTATGCACAACGTTTTCATAAGTAATTACCAGGTGTATGAAATAGGAATATTGTTCTAAACATCAGTTGATTCACAGCAGAGATTTGCTACGGTGAAACTATACATGTGTTTTTTGACATGTGCTCTGATTGCCATATTTTTTTCAGTTACTACGCACTAAGAATCTTATTCATGTACCAGACGTATATATAAGTGTGGTTTCTAAATTCAAGGAAAATATAACTGACCAAACATTGCACCATTCATTCTTATTTATGTACCAGAAAGAGAAGGCATATGGCAAAGAGACGAAGAGGAAGGCGGAAGAAATGAAGGCCACGATGTCTTCCCTGAGAACTCAGAAGACAGACCTGAAAACAAAGCTCAAGGCGCTGGAAGCCACGGCCACAATCCTCAAGAACGTGCAGAAAGAACTCGAAGCATCTCTCAAGGAGAGAGAGAGCCGCATCAGCCAAATGGAAGGGAAAGCCGCAAATCTTCACAGCACTCGGAAAGCACTGGAAGCAACTCTGAAGGAACGAGACAACCGCATCAAGCAAATGCAAGATAAAGTCACGAGTGCTGAGAAAACTCTGAAGGAACAGGAGCTGTCTCTAAAGGCGAGAGACAGCCGCATCAGCCAACTGGAAGAGAAAACCGCCGCAGCGTCAAATCCTGACCAGATGGCAGCCCTCATGGAAATCCTGCAGCGGAAGGAAGCTGAGCTCGAGGAGATCAAGACCAGGTTCCAGGACTACAGGACTACAGACAGAAAAGTTGTAAGTAGTAAGAGCACTTCGGCACGAACAAACCCAACAACACCTGCCGTTGTAGTAGCAGGAAAGGTTACGAACTCCAGCAGGAATAGTACTATACCTGCTAGATCTGAAGAGAAGAGAGCTGGCAACACCACAGTGACAGAAAGCAAACTTCAGAAACCGAAGACCAGATCTTTGGAAGAAAAGCAGGTGAAGCTCGCAGTCAGAGGCAACACAAAAGTTGATGATTTGCAGGAGCAAGATACTGATTTCTTAGATATGGATGATATTTATGGAGGCAGCCATAACAAGAAGTCTGAACTTGCTCGACGGAATAAGAAGGTTTTGACCGACAGTCATGCCGAAAACCAAAAGTCAGGGCACCCCCTGGACCAGCAGGACAGCCATCATGTCAGATATAACAAGCTGCTTGAGAATGAGAACATCAAAACAGATGAAACCAAGAAGAAGAACAGTACTGTTGGGCACTTGGAAAAGATCTCCAAAGACAGCTTAAGCGACGTCAACCTAGACAGACCGAGACAAAGGATGACTGGTGCTGCTGATGTGAAGCCGAAGGTGCCTGTAAATGATGATTTGCAGCAAAACAAGAAGCAGAAGAACAAAAAGCCCAAATCCAAGAAGAAGGTGGTCGATACTTCAACTTGGTGATGGATTAGTTACAGAAGGAAGGTAAGTAGAGACCACATTTTTTTGAACCTAAAATGGTTACTGTGATAGAGGACTAGAACAGAAGACATGTCATTTCCATATGTCGAAATAGAATCGAGAAATGAAGGCCGTAATGTTTTCAAGCAATTGATACTGTAATATTTTTACACTTTGTCTTGTGTTGACAAAGCAATTTTGCAGACAGTACATTATAAGGTTTGCACAACACTAGACTAAATTTGTTTCTGAGTGTTGTAAATCATTCCGCCCCATTTGATTTTGTAAGCAAGAATGTCATTACCCCGCCCGGACAAGCAAAATTAATGGTAGCTCAAAACTACAAACATGCATGTCGCGGGTAAAAAATATTACACGACAAGTTATAGTGGCAGAGCAAGCTTGATACAAGCAAGATGCAGTGCAACAGTAAGCAGTTGCAAAGAGGTGAACATAATGAGTCACGGATATTAAGAACTCGAACAGAACATAACATTAAGTAACTGCAAGTATATATTCACATGACAAATACAAATACTACAATGCTTGCGGGATGAGTAAAGTACACGGTCAGTACAAACTAACCGTGCAGACTTCTCCATGTCACCTAGCAAAATATCAACGCCCGCCTCTCCTCCTGCCGTGTTCGTTCCCCTTTCTCCTCCGTCCCATGCCATCGTCCACTAGACCATCGCGCTTGGGGCATCTACACCGTACTCCCCAAGCTTGTGGCCATCCTCCTGCCGTCAGGCACGTGTTGGAGATGTCATGCACGGTGCCGGGGGAGGCATTCATCTCTGCCGTGGAATTTGCTGCAACGAGATACACCATGGCTACAAACAAGTCAACTGAGCTAGTCCTCTTTGTCAACTCATAGAGTTTGGAACTTATCGTTGCCAGAAAAGGAAAAGCCAAACTTGGAAATGTAGCAAGTATAAGGGGACATTCAAATTTGTTTGATTGCTGGATCATTCATTTAACTTACCTCAGCACCGTATCCAGATTCACAATGTGAATAAAGCGAGTAAATTGCAGAAAACCACCACTTTGAAGGCAAGGTTTGTGAAAACCACTACAATACATTTTTTTGCAGAAAACACCGTGTCTTCGGTAATCTTTTTGCAGAAAGCACTGATCGGCGGATCGGGCTCAGATAAGTGAGATTATGATAGACGGGACCCGCCCGACAGGCTGACGTGGCACCAACCTCTCACAACGTTACATTGAACCGTTTTGCTTGACAGGGGACCCGCTCGTCAGTGAAATACTCTCTTCTCTGTGTCAGACCACTTAGTCATTTTATCGAGCAGGTGCAGCTCACCACGGCTGTGCAGGTGTTGCAGGGCGCAGGAGGTTCGCCGAGGCGGTCTCCGGCGCACCACCACGCGCCGACGCCGTATTGCGGAACCCCGTCGATCTGACAAGGGGAGGGAGCAGCGGGCCGGCCGCCGGCGTTGTCGCTTCGTCCCGAACCAGAGCCGCCGTGGTGCTCGAGCAGGGAGTCGCCGCCTCCTCCATCAGCCACGGCGAGCACCCTGCTCACCAGCTGCTGCAGCTCCTACGTCGATGGCGGGCTCAAGCGCGGAGGCAGAGGCACCAGCTGGATTGGAGCGCGGAGCGTGGATCCGAGGTGCGGAAGGCGCTGGCGGCTCAGTTCTTGCTGGATCTGGGTGAGGGCGAGCTAATGGCGGCTCCATCCTAATCTGATGCTGCTGCTGCTCGGGCAGAGGAGGAATCATGGCTGCAACACCTCCCCTCGGTGCATCCCGTCGCAAACGGGCTCAACGGCGACATATCCGACCGGGGAAAGAGGAGGCCATCCGCGGGAATGAGCTCGGCAGCCAGATCCTGTCTCGGAGATGGGGA